TATACCAGTTTTTCTTCCCGAGGATGAAGAAGGAACTTCCATCGGGTATCGGCACGATCTTCTCTTTGGGCCCGGAGAACTCCGGCTTTAATGGAGCGACCCCTTCATGAGAGGGTGAAAGGATGAAGAGCATTAATGAGTCTCCATCAGTAGGGTGGAGGTTGTCCATCACCAGTGTTGGGCAAGTTACTTCAAAACTGTAATGCATTATTTATTACTTGTTACCCTCATTTTAAAGTAATTCATTACATTACAATATTACTGATTTTAAATTGTAAGGCATTACACTACTTTTGCATTACTTTAAGTTACTTTCACCAATACAACTTCAGCATGAATCTGGTCATGTGACGCTCAGTGAGCTCATGACATATATGTGGAAGGTGATGTGGTGTCTGAGCTAGGGTTGCTGTTAAAAACAGTCAGATTTGCTTTAAAATGATTGTTTATTAAATAAAAGCAACAACAATCTGTACTCTCAGCACGCTGCCATCTTAGATTAACTGATCAGGGAGTGAGGTGGTGGGGGCTCCAAACCTGTATTTGCCTTGGTCCCCAAATGCCTTGATACGGCCCTGGATGTGGGACTGACTTCTGGGGAGATCTGATTCTATCACATGTATAAATATTAAATGCTTACATATTATTGCTTTTCACTGGTAAAAATGTGTGTTGGGGATAAATCTACCTACTTTTTTATTTTTTTCTTGATTTTATTTGAATAATTTATGGTAAATGGTAAATGGCCTGTATTTGATATAGCGCCTTCTAGAGTCCTGGAACCCCCCAAGGCGCTTTACAACACAATCAGTCATTCACCCATTCACACACACATTCACACACTGGTGGGGATGAGCTACAATGTAGCCACAGCTGCCCTGGGGCGCACTGACAGAGGCGAGGCTGCCGAGCACTGGCGCCACCAGTCCCTCCGACCACCACCAGCAGGCAACGTGTCTTGCCCAAGGACACAACGACAGCGACAGACTGAGCGGGACTCGAACCAGCAACCTTCCGATTACGGGGCGAGCACTTAACTCCTGTGCCACCGTCGCCCCAGCCCTTTCTCTCTCTAACCTTCCTGCATGCTGCATGTTTTCTCCGTCTTCCAGAAAAACTGTTTCCTAGACTTCCTACTTTCTAACGATCAGCCAGAGGGATCTTCACATGCGCGGCGCTCCAGCAGCAATGAGTTGAAATCACCGGGGCACAGATTATTAACTCAGCTGAGGCAAAGCACGTCAGGAAAGCACAAAATACCAGAGAATATGCGCCGATATGAACGATCGCAGGTGAATTATTTTGTTTTAGTGGAGCGATTTTGTGAATGTTGCAGCGGCCGCGTGCAGGACGCAGCTGAGCCGTTACCGCGGCGTCCTCTCTGCCCGCAAAGCTGAGTCCATAAATGACGTCATATATGCAGATACTGGATCTTTCTTCGGGTTTCCCGCAATTTGAATTTTTAAGGAACACATCTTGATTCTGGGTTTAAAAATGCATTGTAATTACCGCGTTACTGACAATTGTACCGAGTAAATGTTACCATTTTCTTTCCCTGTAATGCCTTACATTACCGCATTACAGCAAAAAGCAATGCATTACAGTAATTAATTACTTTTGTGCTGCATTACTCCCAACACTGTCCATCACACTCACCCTCCAGTCCCTCAATGGCTCTCAGCTCCTCGTTCTCCTGCCAGTCGTCCTCTTCGTTCTACGAGCAAAACAAACAAACAAACACCAGCAGCTCGAAACCTTCCGGAGAAGACGCAAAATACTCGGTTCAACGACTTTAACGATGCCTTACGGCTTCATCCTCATTTTCTTTCTCTTCATCTTCATCCCACTCTTCCTCTTCTTCTTTCTTCTCCCTGAATAAACACCAGCGTGTTAGTGGTGGGCCTAGAGTAAGATGTGACCAAAGTGACAACATTCCTGGACGGAATCTTCTTCCCGGGTTCAAATGTAGGGTGAAAAGGTAAACGATGGCGTTATGGTCACTTGTAATGATCTGGTGTGACGTGTCAGCGCCGAGAACGCGTTGAGAGTGACCCTCAGCTAAAACAGAGCGAGTCAGCGTTGCTTTGGGTCAGCTGTGGGGAACATCTAGGGAGTTTGATGAAGTCCAGCCTGCGCTTCATGAACTACTCTGCATAAGAAACAAACAAAAGCCTCCTCTCAACGCTGCTTACTCCACTTTCTTCTTCCCGCCACCGCTTGCCAAGTTATCGACAGCAATAGCCAAGAAGACGTTCAGCAGGATGTCTGGTTCCAGAGTTAAGGAGTGCGACCTGCAGGGGTGCTCCGAGACACAAGCAGGCCACCGATGAGGAGGATACAGTTACCGCAGACGAAGAGGATGACAAAGTAAATGCACACCACCATGTTGGGGAAGATGGGCCCTCCGTATGCCATGATGCCATCATACATCACAGCGTTCCAGTCCTCTCCGGTGAGGATCTGTGACAAAACAACACCCGGGGGGGGGGGGGGGGGGGGACTCGATGAGACAGTCAGGAGGGACAGACTCGGCAGCTGCTAACAACTACTCAGTAAATGACCTGAAAACAGGTGAGCAGGGCCTGAGGAAACGAGTCGAATGTGCTTCTCTTCATCTGAGTTTCGTCAAAGTTGAATTTCCCTCCGAACAGCTGCATCCCCAGCAAGGCGAAGATGATGAGGAAGAGGAAGAGCAGGAGCAGGAGAGAGCAGATGGCCTTCATGGAGTTGAGCAGCGAGGTGACCAGATCAGAGAGAGCGGCCCAGTGCCTGGAAGCAGACAGGTGTGATTGCACATCCGGAAGTGACTGGAAGTGCTCCGAATCCCAAAGGGTCTCACCGGGTCATCTTAAATATCCGGAGTAGTCGGATGCAGCGCAGCACGGAGATGCCGATGGGCGGGATGACATCCAGCTCCACAAGCAGCGTCTCCAGGATGCCGCCACACACCACGAAGCAGTCGAAGCGGTTAAACAGAGCCATGAAATAGATCTGAAGACCAAAGGCGTACATCTTCATCAGCATCTCCAGGGTGAAGAGCAGCAGCAGGATCTTATTGGCTCGCTCTGGGGAACACAGAGACGCTGCAGGAGTCAAAAAGACAACTAGGACGGAGATCAGTGCCACGGGAAATAACCTGCTACCTTGCATTTCGGTGAGCCACTTGGGCTGCCCGTAGTGCTCCGAGGCGCTGGCCACCGTGTTGAGGAACACCAGCAGCAGCACCAGCCAGTAGAAGTTGGTGGTCTTGACGGCGACACGGCAGTTCTTTCTGAAGGAGTGGTTGAGCTGGCACAGCTGGTCGCTACGCACAACACGGAAACACTTCAGTCAGAAGGTGGGAACACGCAGCTTTTCCTCACTTGCACGTCAAAACGGTTATTCCAAGCTGAAACTCAAGAAACGTCATCTTGTGCTTTTTGTATTTGTTTTGACCCTTCTGGGCCACCGTATGATGCAGCCGGTTCGGATGTCTACAGGAGAGTCTCACCAGAAGCTGTTGGCCATCATCTTCGCCCTTGAAAAGCAAGAGAAAGGTTTTAAGCCAGTGAATGAATCCCAGATTCAAAAAGTGCTTCTGGGCTGGACCTGCTTACATGAGAGAAGCACAGAAGCCGCTGTCATCGTCCAGGTACGCAATGTCGTCGTCAGAGTCCGACTCTGCTCAACACACACAAGAAAGGTGTCTGCAACACTCAGAGCAAACTCAGCACTGGTGAGAGGCAGCGGCCGTACCTCCTCCGTCCTCACTGTGTTTGTACCAGCCGAACTTCTTCATCATCTTCTTCTTGGCGATCGCAGCGCCTTCAGAGACACACAGAAGAGGCTAATTATGTACGAATACAACACTGGATCCAGCTCTTTGTGTGTGTTTCAGAGACTAACGCTTGTTTCCTTCTTCGTCCACGTCCTCGGCTTCTATGAGCCAGTCCATGTAGCCGATCATGTCCTCTTCCATCTGTTTGCTCTCCTGAGCCTTCTGCAGCTCACCCCGCGCCACCGCCTTCTCTCTTTCCTTAGAGAACTCTCTGGAAACATGAACCCGTGCAGCTGAGTTAACTCCTTCAGGAGGTGCGCTTCGTTTGGTCAGATTTAGGGAGAGGAGTCCTTCAGCGCAGGAACGACTCACCCGCTCAACACACCCAAGACAAGATTAATGATGAAAAAAGATCCAAAGATGACCAACGAGACAAAGTAGATCCACGGAATGTCGTAGCCAATAGCGTCGTTCATCTGCACAGGGGGTAAGAGATGGAGAACAGGTGAATGATCCGGCTGAACAAGTGTTTGGAGACAACCTGCTAGATGGTCTCCAGTCAGGCTTTAGACAACACCACTGATTAAAGTATTAAATGATATTCGTCTCAATACAGATTCAGGCAAAACATCTGTCCTGATGACGTTCGGCCTCAGTGCAGCTGTTTATGGTGTGGATCACAACGTCCTTCTCGAGAGGCCCAAAGCCTGGGTGGGACTTTCAGCCACAGTCCATAGTTGGTTTCAATCTTATCTAGAAGACAGGCGTTACGCTGTCTCTACTGGAAGCTGATCACCATGACACGTGGGGTCCCTCAAGGCTCAATTCTAAGAACACTGCTCTTCAATTTCTACATGCTTCCCCTGGCTCAGGTCGTACACAATGACAACATTACCGATCATAGTTATGCAGATGACACCCAGATCTACACAGCTCTATCACCTAGCGACTGTGGTCCCCCAGACTCACTCTGTCAGTGTTTGGGGCAAGTCAATGACTGGATGCAGTTAAACTTCCTCCAGCTAAACAAAGACAAGACTGGAGTTATTTTCTTTGGAAATAAGAAGGATAGGATGGAGGTCATTGCTCAGCTGGACTCCAGGGGAATAAAAACAAAGACTCGGGTTAGAAATCTTGGTGTCATGATTGATTCAGACCTGAACTTCACTGCTCACACCAAGGCTCTAACTAGATCAGCGTTTTATCATCTGCATCAAACAGCACGACTCAGAGCTCTCATGTCCAGACAAGACCTAGAGAAACTCATTCATGTGTTCATCTCCAGCAGGCTGGACTACTGCAATGGTCTTTTGACTAGTCTTCCCAAAGAAGCTGTGAAGCACCTGCAGCTTATTCAGAATGCTGCTGCTAGAGTCTTAACAAGAACCAAGAGAACCGAGCACATCACTCCTGTTCTTAGATCCCTACACTGGTTACCGGTAAACTACAGAATTGATTTAAAAGTACTGCTACTACTTTATAAATCGCTCAGTGGGGCCAGAACACATGCCAGATTTCCTTCAGGTATCTACGCCCAGCAGGTCTCTGAGATCCTTAGGAAACAGTCAGCTGGTAGAACAGTCAGAACCAAACAAGGTGAAGCTGCTTTTAGCTACCATGCTGCTCACTGATGGACCTCATGACCTCAAATGTGCCAAAGCTCTAATTGAACACTTTCATGTTTTCATCAGCCTTCGAATGACCGCCCTTTTGCTGCACTGTGACTGCTCACCTTTTGACTTTGTCTTTTTATTTTTAAATCTAAAATTAATTTGTGTGCATTTTAGCTGTGCTGTCACGCGTTAGGGATCTTGTTGATTGGAGAGCACACTGAGCAGCCTCTGTGTATGACAGGGGTGCCCAATCCTGGTCCTGGAGGGCCGGTATCCAGCAGGTTTTGTGGTTTCTCTGCTCCAGCACACTTGATTCAGTGGTTGAATCACCTGCAGCAGCTCATCAGGCTCTGCAGAAGCCTGTTAATCAGCTGCTGATTGAATTCAGGTGTGTTGAAGAAGGGTTAAACCTAAAACCTGTTGGGTACTGGCCCTCCAGGACCAGGATTGGGCACCCCTGGTGTATGAAATGTACTATATAAATAAAGCTGCCTTGACTTGAATGGAGATTCCTGTCTAGTGTGTGTGTGTGTGTGTGTGTGTGTGTGTGTGTGTGTGTGTGTGTGTGTGTGTACTCACCCAGTACAGCACTTCTGTCCACCCCTCCATAGTGATGCACTGAAAAACTGTCAGCATGGCAAAGAAAATGTTGTCAAAGTTTGTGATTCCCCCATTGGGACCCTCCCACTTGCCCCTGCACTCCGTCCCGTTGGAGACGCAAAAGCGTCCAACGCCGGCAAAATTACAAGGGGATGGATCGTCCTCGACCATGACACCTGCAGCAGGAGAGAGACGGACACTGAGTCAACATGTCAACCGAACATGAACGTGTGTGTGTGTGTGTGTGTGTGTGTGTGCGTGTGCGCGCGCATGTGCATGCATGTGTGTGTGTGTGTGCACACGCATATGCATGTATGTGTGTGTGTGTGTGTGTGCACACGCATGTGCATGTGCATGCATGTGTGTGTGTGCACACGCATGTGCATGCATGTGTGTGTGTGTGTGCACACGCATGTGCATGCATGTGTGTGTGTGTGTGTGTGTGTGCACATGCATGTGCATGTGCATGCATGTGTGTGTATGTGTGTGCACACGCATGTGCATGTGCATGCATGTGTGTGTGTGTGTGTGTGTGTGTGTGCACACGCATGTGCATGTGCATGCATGTGTGTGCGTGCACACGCATGTGCGTGCGTGTGTGTGTGTGAGACCTGTGCTGATGTCATAGCAAGTCTTATGCATCCTGCCAATGAACAGCTCCAGGCCGATGATGGCGTAGATGATGATGACAAACATGACAAGCATTCCGATGTGGAGGAGGGGCACCATGGCTTTCATGATGGAGTTTAACACAATCTGTAAACCTGAGAGTGAACACACACAAGTCTTAGACCGGAACACCCTGGGTGGAAGCTGCAATAAAACCGTGAGACCTACTTGGCACTCCTGACACAAGCCGGAGCGGCCTCAACACCCTGAATGCTCTGAGAGCTTTCACATCCAGGCCTCCAGGTTTCCCTGCAGCGTGGTGAGCCTCTCCGGGTTTGTGATCCGTCATCCCCTCTGCTATCACGCTGAACAACCTGCATTCAGAAGAAAATGCTGAAAACAGAATATCCAGAGAGGGAAGTGTGACTGTGAAACTGTTGGTTACCCGACAATGACGATCACAAAATCAAGCAAGTTCCATCCACTGCGGATGTAGGCGCTGGGGTGCATGACTAGACCATAGGCGAGGATTTTAGTGAAGGTCTCGATGGTGAAGATGACCAGGAAGACGTACTCTACTTGTTCCTGAAGACAGTCAGGGGTAGGAATGAGAAGGTATTTGGGAATGCTCTTTTGTAAACATTCACCAGGGTATGACAGTGAAACTAAACACCACCCAGTGTGTCTCAGAGGAATTAATATGCTGCCCCCCTCCAGGCCAGAGTTCAAGCTAAGATCCCCTTATGTTGAGAAAGGAAGGCGTGTCCTGGTCCAGCCATTAAAATAATAATATAAAACTCATGATCCTAGATGCTTTCTTCTACAAACAAACAAACAAACAAACAAACAAGCAAAAAGTTATTTTATTATTTCTGAGAATAAGAGAAAATTCTGAGGTAAAAGTTGAATTCTAGCTTAAAAATCAGATTTCTGACTTTTTCAGTGCCTTCATCCTCTTTTGGAAATATTTAATATTAGAGATGTGTTGTCATTTAACCCTCTCACTGTCCTATCGGGTGGCCCCTCCAGGAAAGGTGACCACTGAGCAGGATTGATGCTTTATCCCTTAAGGTCAACGTAGCAGGGGTGAGGAGTGAGCACCATCTCACCCGATAGGACAGTGAGAGGGTAAAAATAAACAGGAATTAGATCTGAAACTTTTAGTGACTTTCTTTTGTGGAATCTCAATGAAATAATTCAATGGAACGAACCAAAAAGCAGCTTAAGCCTGAATGTTTTCTATCTGTATGTTTAAAATCACGTTTTTGTATCATTTTAATCATGAGGAGCCATGTGGAAGGTCCAAAGAGCCGCGGGCTGCAGACCTATGGTCCAGAACATACACAAGCTCTCTGTAGGCTTCAGGTTAATCACATGACTTAACTAGAAGAACGGGTTAGTGGTTTAATTAAGAGACAACTGGTGTTTAGAGACTTCAGGTCCCTAAGAGCTCTGATCCAGACATGGCGGCAGAGTCATTAAAGCCCTGCAACAGACCGTACTCGTCTCCTCTGTCAAATCCAATAAAGAGATCTACAGACATCCATCCTGGTAGAGAGAGGGAGGGAGGGAGGGAGGGAGGGAGGGAGGGAGGGAGGGAGAGAGAGAGAGAGAGAGAGAGAGAGAGAGAGAGAGAGAGAGAGAGAGAGAGAGAGAGAGAGAGAGAGAGAGAGAGAGAGAGAGAGAGAGAGAGAGAGAGAGAGAGAGAGAGAGAGAGAGAGAGAGAGAGAGAGAGAGAGAGAGAGAGAGAGAGAGAGAGAGAGAGAGAGTGAGTGTGCGAGTGTGTGTGTGTGACCACTGTGAGGTATTTTGCACCATAAAAGTGTCATTTTAAAGCACCATTACTAAATCCATTTAAATATTTAGCTAATATGACGTCTTTTGTTTAAATCAGGGATGTCCAAACTTTTTAAGACGAGGGCCGAAACGTGAAGTTAAAACTCCTCGTGGGCCACAATTTATTTTTAAAAATGCAAATGTAACCCAGAGTTATTGAGCCTAAATTCCTTAAAAAAATTCTCCATTGTTAGGAACCGTTTTTCACTACTATTAAAAATTACGAGGGTTACTTGAACGCAGCATGCAGCCGAGCTGCGCAGCCCTCCCCACACCGGAGAATATTAAAACGTTTTTTGTCCGTTAGGCTGAAAAGGTGAGCAGAGGTTCAGCCAGGGGCGGATTTAGCTATTTGGGGGCCCAAGGCGAACACAGACATGGGCCCCCTTACACAAAATTTTCGACAATCTTATCTTTAACTGGATTTTTGAAACTCTCTTCTGACACGAGTTATTTTCACTTTTTATTAGTCCTCCTCTTTTTCCTGTCTTTCTCTCCCTTTCAGTGCTTTCTTCTTCCTGTCAGTGCTCCTGTGTTTTTGCCTTTCTTTCTTTTTTCTTCTATTTTCAATTTTGGTCTATATTTTAAACATTTTCTGTTGTCTTTCCTTTTCTGCTTCCTTTTGATGTTTACATAAAAAAAAACGACATCACTTTCAGAAGTGAAGATAAAAGCTTTTTTAAAGCAAGCTGCTTCTTCCTCTTATTGGAGCCACTAGGATAACTCCGTTTCATGCTTCATGTTTTAACTACCGCTTCGAGTTTGTTACGAACGCTCCCGCCTCTCTTCTCCTTTTCTGCTTTCTCCTTATTTGTGGTCTTACAGCACTTTGGAAACAACAATTTGGTGCATTACCGCCACCACCTGGATTGGGGTGGAATGACTACCAATCACTTCCTGTTTGTGCATCGGCGTCTTAAAGGAATAGTCCATTGTGGCATTACCGAAGGGGAGCCAGCAGTCAGGGCTAGGGTTCCCCCCAACATAAGGGGGCCCCAGGCAGCCCCGACCTGTGCCTAATGGTAAAACCGCCACTGGGTTCAGCTAACTGCCGTCAGCGAAGTAATAGATGACTGGAAACTTCTAGGAATGTAAGGTTCATCACTTGAGAAGGGTTTAAGATTATTTGTGAGGAGTTTTTATTGAAACAAAAGTGTTTTATGATTATAGAGTGTGTTCGCTACAGAAGGAGGAGCCGTTAGAAGTAGACCTCGATTTGTTTTTTCAGGAAACCCTTTGGTGAGTCAGTCTAATGTTTCTTGGACTGAATGAATATGTAGATGTGAAACAAAGTAGAAGAAAAAAGTTGATGTAAGCTATGCTAAGCTATGTTCTGTGTAGCCGCATTTTTAAGCCACCCGGCTAGCTGTTAGCTCAGTTTCTGCGAGTAGATGTGTTAAACTGTTGAGAAAATGAATTGTACACAAATTTCCTGTGAAGATAAGATGATTTGTTTTGCTTTTGTTCGACTTTATCATTCCTCTAAGAACCCTCTAGGAGAGGGAATTTAGCATTTATTTTCTTTATGATGAATTTTATAAACTGTTACATATTTCAATATATTTAATTTTTTGAAGTGATTGTT